CTCGTTTAAACAACATGGCAGTCATGTCCTATTTAAAAGTGATAAAAAATAAACCTGTTACCTGTGGAGTAGAAAGTGTATACAGCAATGGGTTGATAGCTGAATTGATCGGCAGAGCGAACACTGCAATCCACACTGCCAGATCGCCAGGTGGATCAAATGTTTTCTCGACGTGAGACTTGATGCCGATAGCAATGATTGGTATCCAACACAGGAAATCGGTCAGAATAATGAAGAAGACTCTTTTGGCAAGTGCTCTTTCTCTTTTGGCCTGCGCACTTTGTGCTCTTGCTTGTATTTCACGAACAGTTCCATGTGCACCGAGCCGTCTACTTGACGACCATGATTTCAACAAGATGGCAATATAAGCCACCATAATGAAGATGAAAAGAGAGAAATTTAAAACGATAAAGATGGAAGTGGAGTATTCCCAGCCTTCTTGTAATTGTGGGGAAAGTTGCAGGGGCAGGCACACTACGTTTTTGCCATAATACCAGTCACCAAAATAGCGCATCCCAGACAAGGGAAGGAATGCCATAACGCCTCCCACCAGCCAGATAACTGCGCACACTAGACGAGCCTGCCTTGGTGTAATTTTTGCAAAAGTGTAGGGAAACACAATGTTCTTGAGCCTGTCCCATGCAATCAAAGAAATCATCATAACTGACACCTCACTTGAAAGGATAGACATGGCGCCATTGAAATGACAAAACCAGCCAGTGCGCCACTCATAGTCGTGCAGGTAGTATTCCCCCGACCATTGTAGGTCTTTTATAGCTATAATGATAAGGTAAATACCTATGATGCCGTCTGAGATGCCCAGATTCACCAACATGATAGACTGGACCACATTGTTATCAGGAAAAAAATACTGCCACCCAAAAACAAACAAAGACCCAAACAACGACAGAAGACCGACAACCCAAAGACTTCTCCTTGGAGCAAGGTTACGGAACATGGATTGACAGCTGGCGAAGTTGTCATTGAAAGAATAGTCGCAATCGGCATCCTGCCTGAAAAGATCGAGGTGGCAGCACATTAGGTTGGTGTCCAAAGTCCTGGATTTGGAAAAAGAAAGAGGAGAAATATTTAGCATTAATAACAACCTTACACGGATAGAAAACAATGGGCATTCAGTGACCAGATACATTAAAGGTTAATGATCTGCAAACGATTAATAATTGGTGATTGATTGATAACATACACTCGTATTAAAACAATTTTTTCAGAGGGGTGATTGAAGTTATTGTTTATTATGGACCCAGTCTTACACTCTGATAACGTGCTTCAACTGCCTGGTGAAAAGTCCTTTAGGGAGCTCAGCCATCAGGTTGTAATGCATAAACCTGAAATTTTGAAAAATATTCAGAAAAACATTAAGTTGGATTATATAGAAATTAAACCAAAAAATTTAATTTGGCATACTCCAAAAAATGTATTTGAATTGGAAGAATGAGATTCATTTATTATTGTTAAAAAAAAAAACCAAAGCACAAAAAAGAGGGGAAAGAAAAAAAAGAAAAAACCCAAGAACCCTAAATGTTTCATAAGAAAGCCCAGCTTTGTAATTAATTTTATGCAACAAAGTTTACTTGCTTAGATGAAAATCTCTCATTTGCCGTACACTTACAAAAATCGCAATTTGTGGGCATAGGTGAAAGTCGTGCTGGAAACGTTTTGTATCTTATTGCCGAAGATATCTCTGAAACGAATAACATAATAACTCACAATTAGTAAGTAGACAGGGTCTCACGACTGTCTGTTTCCTCATAAATTTACATGGAACTGCAGTGAAACTATCTGGTTCTCAACCATGGGTGTTTGCGTTTTTCTTATATCTAACCTTGCTTGCTAAAAGTATGTTCATAAAAGACCCTATTTTTAGTCAAAAATAAATCACTACAGCAGTACTTTGTTAATCAGCTTATTTTTATTTACTTGATATTAGAATTTGTGCACTTAAATCTCAGATTTTAAATGCGTTGTTATACTCTTTCCATTGCTTCAAGTATTCTATTTTTTTTCTATTTGTGATTAACTGTACTCACAGAGCTTTGAGGTTTCCGACGCCTTTAAAACTTTTGTCAGGCAAAGTCTGGATTTTTTTCTCCGAGAGATATCTTAAACAGGCGAAAGGAATAAAAGATAAATAATATAATATTATAACATAATATGATTGCAATCGGGTGTGGCACATTACATTTAATCGATGACAGAGTTAACATTACAATAATCTTGTAATTTTGCTGTTATCAAATGAGTTGATAAATGTAAAATGGCCTCCATAAAGAATTTAAAATAGCTGACGTTTTGAGCGTTAGCTCCTCGCCAGAGCTGCATATTGTTTGCGAATCCACTCATCTTGGGAAAGGTTTCAACCCTGAGTGTACTTACAATTCGATCAACTTTACCAAGCCCTGGAACTGATCTTCATGAAGTCTCTCGATTTTATTGTAGTCCAATTTCCTGAAGAAAGCACCATGGAAAGTTTAGACTACATATGCAGATGTAGCTGTGGAGTAATATCTTTATCACTGTTTTTTTTTTCTCATTTTTTAGGCCGCTACAGTAGTTCAGGTAAGGCAGTGACAATGCTTTCTCCAATAAAATAGCTCTCAGTTTTCATTTCTTACTCTTCAAAGAAAAACATCAGAAATGAGAATAACACTTTCAAGGTTAAGCTAAAAGAATCCCAAGTTTATTCCCCAGCGCCTTCATGAGGTCTATTGTTTAAAGCTGAATTTGAAAAATGATTTATGATCCATTTCCTGTTTCAAATTACGAACTTATTGGGTAGTTTGATCCTTCAAAAAAATAATATTATATATAATATTTTAAAGGAAACTAATGTTTGCCTTCTGAAAGTATATTATAACTAGAGTTGTCATAATCTAGGAAGCTGTTGTATTTACTACATTCTAAAATATATTTTCCACACAATCTTTAATGTCAAAAGAATCTTACTCACAGAAATTCTACCGCTGTAATGTTTCTGAAGATGTGCGGTGGCAGATTTCCAAGTTCGTTGTTTGACAAATCCCTACAAGAAATCCCCAAAGTTACAAGGAATTTGCTAATGATAGAGTTACCATCTAAACTGATTCATAGAATAATAATTATTGGCAGTTTGTGCTGAAAAACTCTCAAAAAGTGCCTTATTATTTGTGTAGTGGCCTCCCCTTTTCAGTTTATTTTCCCCAAATCTTTAGCACATATTCCCAGGAAGAAGTCTTATGTCTTCAAATCCAGCCCAAGAAGACCCTAGCACATTAAACTTGCTAAGAACACAATAATAAAGAGCAACTAGAACATGAGAACATAACTCAACATCTTTTCAGAAAAAATGACATGAAATATGTTTCACTTATAAAAAATGGAAAAAAGGCAATCAAGGAAATATCCAACTGCGACCTTCTTTTTTTTTTAAGAGGGGGGGAGGGGAAACTCCTCACAGCAGTGAAATAATTATGAAATAAAACAAAAAAAGAAACAAAAAACAAAAACGAAAAAAAAAGGTACCAAAAAAATGGCAACGTCACCGGAAGAAGAAAGATAATATCCAAATGCAAGCTATTTCTTTTGTCACAGCTATTATTATTTTCATCATCATTATCATTACTATTATTATTGTTATTACTTTTATTACTATTACTATTTCATCATCATTACTATAATTATTACTATTGGTATTATTACTAGCAATAGCAACATTACTGGTGCAACTGTAGGTTAATGGTTTATCATATGTTAAAAGCTTGTACTTTTTATCCAGCAGAAAGAATTCTACGAGTTGTTGAGGCTGCTATTAAACAGAAGCTTTTAAACTTTTAAACCTCCACGTACCTTAGCATTACTTAACAAAGCACATCAACTACATAAACTTGACTCTGATGATGACTTCCGCACAGGTTATCGAAACGTCAGTCACTACCACCGACAACAGTCCTTCTCAGGACTACACTTACCCAGACGATCAGACTACACCTTCACTATTGATATTATTACTAAAAATATATATATAAAATATAAACTTAGTAATTATTTTATTCCATTAATTGTAGGTGTCCCCTATTAGTAGAGGGCTTGCCTCTCGGCTAGCTTATTTTCCTGACACCTAAATAAAGTTTCTATCTATAGATCTATCTATCTAATAGCAACATTATCCGGCTGGCGCAACTGTAGGTTAATGGTTTATCATATGTTAAAAGCTTGTACTTCATCCAGCAGAAAGAAATCTAGGAGTTGTTGAGGCTGCTATTAAACAGAAGCTTTTAAGCTTTTAAACCTCCAAGTACCTTAGCATTACTTAACAAAGCACATCAACTGCATAAAACAGCATTCTGTCATTCATGTACATGATCAGATTTAAAAAGTCAAGCTGGAAAACTCCATGATGACACACACCTGTCTCGGAAGATCACTTGCGTCCAGTATCGATTCTTCCCATACTTTCTAAGGTATTTGAGAAGCTTTTTGCTTCTCAAATGACTGATTTCTGCACTAGAGAATCTCTCCTTAGAGACACCATCTTGAGCTTTCGGAAGGGGCATTCGACCTCTACGGTACTCTCAGGTATAAGGGACGACCTATTGAGTGCCGTGAAAAGGAAAGAGGTAACTCTTATGGTACTAGCAGACTTTTGGAAAGCATTTGATACCGTTTGTTCTGAGACGGTGATAACCAAGTTGCATCACCTCAGTCTTTCAAAGCATGTCCGCGAATGGCTGGCTAATTACCTGTGCGGTAGGAGACATTACGTTCAAATTGATGATCGCTTCCATGCGTTTGAAGGTGCTTCCATTAATTCCTTTCAGGTCATTGTCATTCAGGCGTCTGCGTTATTTACCATAAAAAAACCGATTATTAGTTCGTCTGTCTGGTTAGAGGGATTACTCTTGGTGTTATTAATGACTGATGTTTTGACAATTAAGCAAAAGTGACATCAGTGACATCGAGTGAGGAGTTGCTC